CCCGGCCCGCTGGAGCGCAACCGGGCCGAGCTTACCGGGCGTTATCGACTCATCCCGGGGCCGAGCAGGGTGAAATTCCTCCGTGGATGATGCGGAGCTGTAGGTTCCAGGCACAGGGTGTTGCTGGTGTGGGGATGCTGGCAGCTGGAGGAGATTTGTCCCTGTTAAAGAATGGTCTTGTCTCCTTGGGTAATGAAGCTGTGGTTGTGTTTATAGGAATTGGATTGAAGAGATTGTTGAGTGTCTGTGTAACTGATCGTTTTCTTGATGTAGATTTCATCTTTATAAGCATCAAATCGGGTGGGATGCCTTGGGTTGAGTTGTAGGATGCTGAAGTTAAAAGTAATTCTTTTCTTTTTTTTGTTTTTAAAGAGGGACGTTGCATTTCATCTCAATTGGGATGGAGATTTCTTCTCACCAGTTTCACCTCTTGCAGCAACTCAATGAGCAGCGCAGGCAGGACTTGTTCTGTGACTGCAATATCTTGGTGGAGGGAAAGGTTTTCAAAGCCCATCGCAATGTGCTGTTTGCCAGCAGTGGTTTGGTTACTTCGCTCCTGTCCCAGAGCTCTAAGGAGACCAGTCAGTCCACCACAGCCACCTTCCAGGCCTTTTCTCCTGACACCTTCACAGTCATCCTGGATTTTGTGTATTCAGGCAAACTGTCTCTCACGGGGCAGAACGTCATCGAGGTCATGTCAGCTGCCAGCTACCTGCAGATGACAGATGTTATCAGTGTGTGTAAAACCTTCATCAAGTCCTCGCTGGACATAAGGAGACCAGTCAGTCCACCACAGCCACCTTCCAGGCCTTTTCTCCTGACACCTTCACAGTCATCCTGGATTTTGTGTATTCAGGCAAACTGTCTCTCACGGGGCAGAACGTCATCGAGGTCATGTCAGCTGCCAGCTACCTGCAGATGACAGATGTTATCAGTGTGTGTAAAACCTTCATCAAGTCCTCGCTGGACATCAGTGAGAAGGAGAAGGATCGTTACTTCAGCCTGTCAGACAAAGATGTGAGCTCCAACGGCGTGGAGAGATCCTGTGTGTACAGCGGGGGCTGGAAGGCAGAGAGCAGCCCCCCACATTCCCACTCCAGCCCAGACCCAGGGACGTGCATGATGGGTGGAAATGCTTGGAGCAACTTCAACTACTACCCAGCGTCTCAGAGAAATGCCCAGCAGCAGCTGTCCAAACACGAGCAGCGGCAGGAGGCCGTGAAGAAGCCGCGGCACCTGGGGCTGCAGCAGCCTGCTGACATTCCCCACTACAAATCCAGCAAGCTGGAGGACAGGGCAGCTGAGCCCACAGGCCACACTGCACCATCTGAGGAGCAAGTTCACATTGACACAGAGGTTGAGACTCCTCACGTTGGCTACCAGTACGGCCAAGGAGCTGAGGTGATGCCGAGGGGCTTAGCTGTGTCGCAGCAGGAACACGAGTCAGCACGTTCCTCCAGCAAATCCAAGTGTTCCAAAGGAGATGAGCAGTATGGGAACATGCCCTCCATCGTTGGAGTCATGGGAAACTGGGCTGAAGGTGAGTGAGGTTTAGTCCCTTCAGGTGTTTCAGAGGCACTGGAGGATGTGGTGGTTTAAGGTTTCAGGGTGCAGTGGAGTGACAGGTTAACACTTGGGCTTGGTGATCTTAAAGGTCTCTTCCAGCTTTGATGATTCCAGGAATATTGCTCAGGGAGGTGGTGGAGTCACCATCCCTGGAAGTGTTGAAGAGGCATCTGGATCTGGTGCTGGAGGATGTGGTTTAGGGGTTACAGCAGTGACAGGTTAATGGTTGGACTTGATCCTAGAGGTTTGTTTCCAGACTTGATGATTCTATGATTCTGTTCTATGATTCTTGGCACACAGTCACCTGTTCTGCCCCTGAGAAAACCTCCTTTACTGGAGGAGTAAAGCACAGTTGCCAGAAAGACAGAAATAAACATTTAGAAAGTTTAACTCTTTGTTTCTTAATCATTTAAAACTGTTGAAGTTCTTGGGATATTAAAACCAGCCTTTCAAAAGAGATAATCTTTAGTAGTTCTCCAGCTTTGTGGTGCAGATTTAAGTGGTGATATTTTGGGCTATCTTTAAGCTCGTTTTCAATAGACTCACAGACTGGTTTTGGTTGGAAGGACCTTAAAGACCATCTTATTCCACCCCCTGCCATGGGCAGGGACACCTTCCACTAGCCCAGGATGCTCCAAGCCCCATCCAACCTGGTGTATGTAAATCCACTCCTTTGTTGCAATCCTGTGTAGTCCACAGGAGAAGACAAGATCTTTCTGCTTGGAAAGACCTAGTACAATAATGCTGTGCTATTCTGCTCATAGAATACCTTTACCTAGAGCAGGGCAAGACGTGCTGTGACTTTATTGGCTCTTTTAACCCCATTATTTTCTGCCAGATGACCTGTCCAGGATGAGGTTCAAGTGCCCATTCTGCAGCCACGTGGTGAAGAGAAAAGCTGACCTGAAGCGTCACCTTCGCTGCCACACCGGGGAGCGTCCCTACCCCTGTGAGGCCTGTGGCAAGAGGGGGCTGGGTCCCCTGAGCAGCCACTTCCGAACTGTAGGTATTTTTAGGCCCTGCCTGATTGGTTTCATGGGTAAATCTGTCCTTAATTAGACACGGTGTGAGTGGATCTGGTGGATATAATGACTCCGGTGAAGGGGAGGTAACGGGAAATTAATTTGGGTTGGTTGCAGGCAATTGGAGGCATAATTTGGAGGAAAGGGGATGAGTTTCTTGGCTGATGGATGGTTTGCAGAGACTCTGCCCTCTGCAGCCTGGAGTGGAGCTGATAACACACGTGGGCTGGGGCAGTGTCACATTTGGTGTCTCTCAAAACGACTTAACTCTCCTATTCGATGCTACTCCAACCCCATGTGTTGTCAGTTTGAAAACAATCCCTCTGTGGATGCATTATCCAACCTATTCCTTCCAATCTTCCCAGATCCACCAGGCGTGTAAGCCAATCTGCAGGAAGTGCAAGCGCCACGTGACGGAGCTGACGGGGCAGGTGGTCCAGGAGGGGACGCGACGCTACAGACTCTGCAACGAGTGCCTGGCTGAGGCTGGCATAGACAGTATCCGCATTGACTTGGAGGCTGAAGCACCCCTGGAGTTCTCACAGGATGGGGATAAGGATTCCAGGTGGCACTATGGGGAAGACAACAGATCTGACGTGGAGATCGTGGAGGATGGGTCGAGCGACTTGGTCATTCAGCAGGTGGATGACAGTGAGGATGAGGCAGAGGAAAAGGAAGTCAAACCAAATATTAGGTAGTTGCAAGACAAGGATTGGGAGTTCTGTGAAGAGGCAGAATGTACTGTCCTGGCCACACACCCTCCACCAGCTGCTGTTGATCAATGACATGTGGTTGAACAGCTCCAGACTTGCATGTATTTATGGACAGGCCATTGAGTCCACTCCGGTTTGATTCCTGCTCTCCCATACTTTGCTTCATTAGAAAGGATCCATCTTTAAACAATGGATGAAACTGCAGTACTACACGGAGAACTTTTTATAGCAGACAATGGGGCATGTCCCAAAACCTCTGAATGAGGAATGAGTTCTAAGTACTTTAAAAAATGTCACAGTGTGTTGTAAATTGCCCAATTTTTACACGTGGAGAGGTGTGAGGTTTGTGTTGTGGGGTGAGAACAAAGTGTAGAGACTCCTCACACCAGGCAACTTCCCTTCACTGTTGAGAGGTGAAGAGAATCTTCCATGAAGTCTTCAAGTCATGCTAAGGAAAAGGGCAGCTAATTAAGGAGAAGCATCTGAAATGTTTTGTCACTTTTGTCTGGAAAAGCACATGTAAAATTGATTAGAACAGGGCAAATCTCTAGCAGATCATTCACTGAGGACCTGTTTCTTTACAAGCAGATGAGTGTTAGTCCTTGTCAACACGTCAGGGACAAATTGATTACCAATATGGATCATTAACTGATGCCTGTTCATGATTTTGTTCATTCTGAAAACAGGTCTCAGATTGGGCTGTTTTCATTAGCACTCTGCTTGTTTTCAAACCTCTCAAAAGTGCCAGACATGGTGGGATTGGCCTGTGCAGGGCTGGAGTTGGGCTGGGATGATCCTTGTGGCTCAGGATATGCCATGACTCCATGACTGGTGGCCCTGCACACACAGCATTGGCTTCTCCATGCCAACCCTAAGGAAACATTCCTTAGAAGGTTATTTTAGCTGTTGTTTTCTCTCTTTGCCCCATTTGATTTGCCAATAGCAGTGGCAGAGCAATTTGTACAGTGCATATCCTGTATGAGAGATGGAATTGAGGAGCTTTTCCAGCTCCAACCATTGTCTGCTCCTGCCTGTACTCACCTGTATGTGATGTCAACAGATGAGTTGGCAGATGGAATTGGTATCAATTGATCCATTCACAAAGAGAACAATGTCTTGGGGTTGTCCTGTGCAGGGTCAGGAGTTGGATTTGGATGATCCTTGTGGGTCCATTCCAGCTCAGGATAGTCTGTCCTACAAACCAGTCAGGACAAGATGTACTGGATGTTCTAGACATCCTCTTTGTGTCATTTCACCTATAATTAGGCCACGAGAGGTGACTAATGAGGAAGAAATTTGACTTCTCTAACCACATAAGCCACTTGGTTGCTAAGTGAGTTGTCTTACCCAGCACTGCAAGCAGGAGAGGAGCAGGAGATGCTCCTGAGGTGCTGCTGCTCTGCATTTTTTTGGACAGCCCTGAGTGTTATTCCAGTTTTCATCCCAGGATTATGGGACTCAATGGCTGTAGGCTTAGAAAACTTTCTTTTTTTTTCTTTTTTTTTTTTTTACAGCTTTGTAAGCATGTTTGCCTGAACCCTGGGGTTCATTACAGAACAACCCCATATATATACTCTATAATCTTTCCCAGGGACAGCTATGAGGAAAAAAAAAATCACTATTTTATTTTTATTTGTGTAAAAAACTGTATAACCTTATTAATTTCATCATGACCAGAGATTAGCACATCATTCCAGGCTGCAGGTGACCAACCAAAGGGCTCTTAAGTGACAACTTAAGTGCTTTAAGCACTGAGCACCTTCCCCTCCCCTGGATGTGCCAGGCTGGTGGGAAGGATCCTGCTTGGATGTTCCAAGGAGATCAGAAATGGTATTATTATTCCTACAGAAATTATCATCCATTGGCTTAGGCTTGGGGAGGGAGAACTTAAAAAGGTTTAGGATGACCAAACCTTTACAAACAAGACTTCCACTTGCCTTGATTTTATGGGACACTTGGTCAGCAGCCAGAAATGGACTTGATGTGAAAACAGCCATTTAATTTTTTTGGAGCTTATTCCTCCTAAAATGCCTATTATTAAATGGTTGAGAAATATTCCTGAGCAATCTGAACTAAATCAAATCCAGCACAAGAAATATGGAGTAACTTTGATCAAATTCCAGAGATGTTTCCATTTGCCTTCCCATTAAAAAGTGTGACAATAAATTCCAGGTATCAGTGCTGCTGTCCCAGGATACAATCCAAAGTGTCTGGGATTTGTGTGTGTTTGGGATGGGTTAAGGGGAGAATCCAGTGGCTCTCCAGGGCTGAAATCTTAGCTGCCAGTTGCAAAGGTCAGACTATTAATTGGTTCTTAATAGTGGGGGTGGTTTTAGAAGCAAAAGGATTGGGGAATCAATACTCCATTCAATTAGATCCCATAAATCTGAGAATACTGAGGACCAGATGCTTTGGAATAAGATCTGAAGTGGCTCTAAATGGAGCAATGTCTCCATAGACATTTGCTTGTTAAATCCAGGGAGATGAATCGCTGATTTCCCAGGAAAACAAGGGCTTTTCCTGCTTTTCTGTGTGATTGTTGTTCTCAGTAGCATAACTAGGCACCTGTAGTCAGTTTTAAAATACCTTACTCAGCCTGGAGTTTTAGCTGCAATTCCCACAGGTCAATTCTGGTTTCTGTTTTTTTTTAAAAGGTACCATTTTTTACATTTGTTGCCTTAATTTTGGTTGTTGTTTCCTTATCTTTGTATTGCAAGACAAGATAAATGTTAAGTGCCTTCTGTTTTCTATGTCTTTGATTTTAGTCACACATTTTCCTTGGTTTTCTTCAAATGAAAGTATTTGTTTTCACCTCTTCCCATGACTGTCTTCATGTTTCTGTGAGCATCACTTACCACTCATCAGCAGAGTTATATTTGCTTTCCCAGGGGGAAAGTAAAGACCTCATAGGGATGTTCCCACTGAATTAATTTTTTTCCAATTCTTTTGTCTTCATGTCTCTTAGGGACATGAAGATAAGGTGACCACACCAAGTGTGTGGGGCAATCACAGCTGGAGGGAAGGGATGGGACATCCAGAGGGACCTGGAGAGGTGGAACAATGCAAACCTCATGGAGTTTAACACCATGAAGTGCAAGGTTTTACATCTGGGCCGTGGCAATCCCAGGCACAGCTCCAGGTTGGGAAGGAATTGAGAGCAGCAGTGAGGAGAAAGACTTGGGAGTGACAGTGGAGGAGAAGCTCCCCATGAGCTGCAGTGTGAGCTCAGCCCAGAAACCAATGGAATCCTGAGCTGCATCCACAGGAGTGTGGGCAGCAGGTGAGGGAGGTGATTCTTCCCCTCTGCTCTGCTCTGGTGAGACCCACCTGGAATACTGCACACAGTTCTGGTGTCCTCAACATCAGAAGTACATGAAACTGTTGGAGCAAGTCCAGAGGAGGCCATGAAGTTGCTAAGAGGATTGGAGCATCTCCCTGTGAGGACAGGTGACAGATGTCACTTGCCTTTATGTGAAAGGTTTAATTGTTGGGTTCTCCTCTCTCCCCCAGTTAATTAAAGGCAGAGCCCAAAAATTAACCCCAGAGTGAATCTCCCTTCCCAACCTTTTGGAATATATTCTATTCCAGTTCTAAAGAACTGAGATGGACAAAAAAAAAGGGCACAAATATTGATTTAGGATGAGCTTTGAAAATACCTGTGTGCCCACAGATGTCTCAGAGAGGAGTGACACTGCTGCAGGGATCCTTCCTTTCCTCCTGGCTCTGCAGGATGTTCCATCCGCCAGGATTATGGGGTCCCTCTCAAATTTTCCATGATAACTTAGGGGGAAAAAAAATCGGATATAAAATGATGGAATTTCTGAAGCATCTGGTCACTGTCAGTTATCCCATTTCCAAGCCATGTCAATGTTAACCCTTCTTGTTTTTAGTTGCTGTTTGTTGGAGGCAACACATACAAGGATGGAATAGCAGAATATTTCTCTAATTCTGGCAAAAAAAAAGATTGAGTTTTTTTTTAAAAAAGGATCTTAAAATCCTCCAGTCCTTGTCTCCAGACTTTTTTCCATTGGGTACAAATCTGTACCAACTTTATGTCTGTTGAGTTCTGGGTATAACTTGATAAGCTACCAAGAAAAACTTCTAATAAATAGCATTTGGTTAAATATTTTCTATACTGTTTAACTTCAAACCTTTCTAGATGGAGTTAGCATAACCTTTCATCCTATTTAACTCCTGAAATGCAGAGAGTTTTAAACCTAGCAGGAACACAGAACAAGAGGTTTTGTAAGGAGAACTGGGAGGAGTGGCAGGAAGAAAAGCTTTCCCTAGCTCAGCTGTTGGACTAAATTAAACACCTCTGAAGTTCTCTGCTGTGCTCCAACCTGACACTTCACTGTGCAAATAGGAACTGTTCTTTAAGAGCCTGCAGGGAGGAGGGACTGTGCCCATGACTGCAGAGGCTCCTGCTCAACATTCCATGATCTCAAGGAGTAAGATTCAAAGTGTCACACCTAACGGGCACAAGATAGAAGTGTCTCCTCCTCTAACAGGCATCCTAATTCCATTCCCCGCACAGCAAACAGGACAATTCGTATCACATTCCTCCTCGCAGAGCTTTGGGTTGGGATTATCAGCGTCGCTCGAACACAAAACATCCCGTTATAAAAACGCAGCGATATTGAGTAAGGTCACATATCTATGCCACAGGGCTAGAGAGATTTCCCACTCTGCTGGCGCCTTCCACACACACCAAGGGATCTGGGCTGGGATTTCCCAACAACAAAGCCGCGGCCCGAGCAGCACTGAGCGCAGGGATCAGCCTTGGGGCGCTCGGGGCAGCTTTGGGCTGTGTCTGC